GAAAAAATTACATGCCTTTCTATATATATTATAATAATAAAGCGCAATAGCGTAACAGCGTAAATAATTAAATTATAAAATTTGTTATATTTTAATGCCATAAGGTTTTTTATTTGATAATTATAGCTAACAATACTTTAACTTATTTAATAAAAAAATTATATCATAGGCGATTTTTTGTATGGAAAATTAAATTTATAAATAAAAGAGATAGATGAGACTATTCTGGCTTAAATATATAGGCAACCTAAGGAAATCAAATGCATTTGGAAATATGTTTAGTTTTATATAAAATGGAGACAAATAACAGAAAATGAAGAGTTGATCACTGGGGAACTGTGGGATAGTGAATTCTGTATTTATCTAGAAAATATTTTTTAAAAAAAAGGAAAAAAAAAAGCAATGTGGTAATTTTAATTGATTTATATCTTCGTAGTAATTCAATAACCAAATGAGATACAAAAAGGCTATTACATTTAAGATTTAATTTTGCCGTTTCAATTTCCCCTTTACTTAATATTTTGCAGCGATTTTTAAAACTGTACAATGCTTTGTATTAAAACTTCCACTTACAAGGGATGGGAACGATTGGAATTAAATTTATTAGTAATATACCTGTATTAACTGTAGTATATACATGCTCATTCCTTTAAAACAATAAAACACTCTAGCGCCCTCATTTAGAGAAAAACGCATTTAAAAATTTTGCACACTTTATGTACTAGTTGAATCTTAATTTCGTTAACAATGCTGAAACTTAGTGGTAAGGTACTTTCCTAACAACGAAATGCTAGAGGTTTGATCCGCGCTGTAAATCCCTCTATCCCCCCCCCTCCCCTTCTTTTCAAAAATAATTTTTTCTGTTTACGAACATTATTAATTTCAATATAAATTATTCTATTTTATTTACTGAACATTTTAAATTATGAGAAATTTCTTGTTATATAAATTACAATAATATAATAATGGTGAAAGTAATAATATTTATAAATAGTGCTTACAATAGTTAAAAATAAAAAAATTTTATTAATTAGTGTCATTTCAGTTAATTATACAAAAAACAAGAATTTAGATTATAATTATCAAGTAAAATTCGAAAATAAAAAATTATTCGCCATCTTGCACAACTAATAAAATGGTGGTAGATAAACAGTGTTAACATAAACAACGTTTTTGAAGTTGATCTGCTAAAATCATACTTCAGTAACATTCAAAAGGATTTCTTGATCTGCTAGAAATTTTAAAAGCCTTTTATTGAAAATTGATGATGAAATTATTTATATGTTAACACAATACAGTTTTCATAAGAATTTATTTCTCAATTTTGTTTAAAGATGGAATTCTGCAAAGTCAATAGACTTTCAATTGTATTAAAATTAGCGTCACAAGGATATACGAAACCAATGTATTTTCAAAGAATCACTTTCAAATCTAAATGTTTAATTATTATAAGCGCTGCTTATAAATGTAATTATTTAAATGAAGAGTAAACTATTACTGCAATTTAAATGTCAAGTAATATCCAATAGTTAAACAAGAAAAAAATGCAACGAATGAAATAATTTATATTTAAATTAATACTATTTGTAAACAAAAAAATATTTGATAAAAAAATTCCTGCGACTTAAGTGTCAAGTAATATTAGATAATTAAAAGTTAATTATATAAAATAAAATTATATTTAAATGAATGCCATATATAAACAGAAAATAATCTTTATGAAAATAGAAGCAAGAGAAAATAAAATAAATGTTTCTCTGAGGGAATCAAAGTCACATAGTTAGGCAAATATTTTACCACTATGTCACAGGGCCTTTAGTATAGTTAAAATTTAACAAGTATATAAAATATGTTTTGACTTTCAAATACATATTCTCAAAATTGGCTGGCACTTGTTTTTTTATTATTATAAAGAGTTGAGCACCCTTATTAATTTATACTTCAAATGTACCAAGTTTCGTCCCAAATAAGTGACTTTCTCAAGTCGTGCCTTCTTATTTTGTTAGTATTAACTTCCTCTTGCACCTTGCATAGTGTGTCTGCTGCTAAATCCACAATTTGTTTTCTTTATTTATAGACAAAAGGGATTAGCGATGTAAGGGATAAAAGGATTACTAATTGGATATTAGTAATTATGATGTATTTTATTTGACAACTGTATTAATAATTCGAAAATAAAAATGAAAGTGCTTTTATTCTGCAAGAGATACCACTTTTAAAATGCCATGAAATATTTTTGGTAAAATCCCTATTACAATATCAGGATATAAAAATTTATTTTCTATTGTGTTCTTTCCATGCTAAAATGACAGTACTTTTGTTTTTTTTTAAAAAAGATTTCGATATAGACCAATTTAAATCTAAGACTCTATTGAAAGTACTTCATGTAAATACTTCATTTTTCCCGCGTTAAAATCACTGACAGTATTTCCTGACCCATACAAGACCCATTTAGTGGTTAAAAGACCTTCAACTCCAACAGGACCTCGAGCATGAATTCGAGCTGTTGAAATACCAACTTCGGCGCCTGAAAGAAAAGAAGAATTGAAATTAAGTTTAGATATCTCAAAATTGACTTTCCTTAAAATTTATTTTAGCTTAAAATTAGCTTTACTTTTATGTAAATAGTCTGTGAAAAACGTTTTCGTGCATTTTTAGAAGAATATCTATGCGCATATTTTTATCCCATTTTTTATAACAAACATATTACTATTTTTATACAGGAGTGATTATGGCAATCTCAAAAACTCGATATCAATTTATATACCACACATGTTTAGCATAATTATAATTAAATTGCCTATCAATGAAATCAAGAATATCGTAACTAATTTAAGAAATAACTTAGTTCGTATCAGAATCGCGATATTGGATTATAAAATCGGGTGAATATGAATCACGATGTTGGATTTTAAAAACATAAAAATAGAAATCGTGATATTGCATTTAATTTGCGTGAATGCGAATCACTATGAAGGATTTTTAGATCACGTGAATATGAATCGCAATGCGCAGCTTTTAAATCACTGATAAATACAAAAATCGATATACGAAAATTGATGTTCGATTTTACTAACGGGTGAATGTGAATCGCACAATATTGGATTTTAAAAACGAACGTGAATACAAAACGTAATATTGACTTGAAAAACACGTAAATACTTATCACGATATTGGATTTTTAAATCACGTGAATATGAATCGCAAAGTGTAACTTTTAAATCATTTAAATATGAAAGCCAATGTTTGATATTAAAATCAAACGATATGAATCGAGATATTAGCGGATTCCAATGCAATTCCAAATATTCAAAAAGGTGGAAGAATGTATGTATGTTAACGGGATTTAACAAAAAGTTTCAAAATTTGAATTTTATATAGCGGAACTCTGTGAAAATGTCTTTGGATTATAAGTTTTTGATTCACAGAGGTCGCAAACCAATGGTCTTGAGTTACGCGAAATTCCCGAAAAAATTACATGCCTTTCTCTCAGTTTTTAGACCCGGAAGGATGATACAAAAAACCCGGAATTCTGAGGTGCACCTGTTATACAATCACCCATGTTTTGAATCATAAAAATAACGTCCGAATTTAAAAACGCACTATTTGGAACTTCTTCGAAACACAACTTAATAGGTAAAATAAAATCTATTGGTTGTTGAAGACATTTAAAATTTACAAAATAAATATGTAACTCAATTGTTAACTCAAGCAAGTGTTTCATTAATTGTTTTTTTTTTCCTAAATTGACTGTATTTTGATTTCACAATGTCATTGTAAAAGGCTAGTGTTCTATCCTCGATGGAGGCTTGATTTAGATCGATGGGTGCTTAATTGGTTAGGAAATTAAGGCAGCTCATGCACAATGCGAACCATATTCACAATCATGCTGTTAGAGCCGCGGTGGCTCAGGGAATAGAGCATTTGCTTCTCAATGAGGTGACACAGATTCGAATCCCAGCTGTGTCTGGTTGATACGAATTCTTTTCCCAGGTCACACCGGCCACAGTGCTGACATAAAACATCCTCATTTGTTGACGGATCATGGCTTAGAGTCCCTTGCCTTCAGGCTGACCGTGGGAGGCTTTCGTAGTTTTCCTCTCCATGTGACGATAATGCTGGTTAGTTCTATCAAAAATGCCCCCACGAAGGCAATTTTTTCCAATGCTTGACTAGGAGTTTCCTAGTCTTCCGGGTTGAGTTTAAAATTACAAAGCTACAGAATTAAACATTGATAATCGTAAACTCAGACTTGAGTCGGCTGTTCAAACGCCAGTTATAAAATAAAATCAAATCATAAAATCACGTTGTTGGTCGCGAATCGTAACCGCTGTGGCCCACAATCACAGTGAGCTGTTGTGATAATGCTTTACTGATACTTTTTTCCCAATGTAAGTTATTTATTTATTTAATTTTTGCTGTAGGTTAGGATTTTTTTCTCACCGCTCCACGTAGTGCGGCGGATAATCTATAAACTGAATCAAGTTATTAAGAGTTGATTGATATTCGTTCTTGCAAGTGAATTTCACACTTGTTAATTGAAATTCTTACAAAATCCAGCTACTTATATTCGCATATATGACTTGAACAATTTTATTTCTACTATGTTTATGACGCTTCATAAAAATGGACAATATTTTAAGTTTGATTTTTGTTGAAACAGCTAAAACTGCAACAACTTATTTTAGTTTATAAACTTTAGACACTTCAATTAGCATTCAAATTTTTCTTAATTTTTTGTTTTTTAAATTTTACCAAAAAGGCATGATTTTACTGCTAAGTGTAGAATTATGCAAAAATCTATACTTTCATGCCATTTATCTGAACCAATTTATAAAATCATTAAAATATTATGTATTTAATAAATATGTGGGAGTTCATGATGGACTTTCATAATTAGAAGTACAAAAAGTAGCTATAGACTTAAAAAAGAATTAACACGAATCTTGAATTTTTTCAAAAGTTAGACTGTATTAAAATTCTTTCGCTATTTTCTTCATTAAATAACAAAATAAAACTCACTATCGTATTACTTTGACGGTTTATTGTAATATCATTCTAAAAATCCCTATTTTAATCTACTTTAACTTCGTGTTATCAATAATTTATGTCGAAGCAACAAATATTATGATTGTTTTACTAATGTGCCCAATTAAACTGTGAACTGAATTTTCAAGAATTAAAGTATTGTTAATTGTTTCAAATCTGGAATGGAATGGTGATGGAATTGGTGATGAAAAATTTCTAGTTACAAATTTTACCTAAACCAAAGCGGTATCCGTCTGCAAACCTGGTACTTGCATTATGAAACACATCTGCGCTATCAGTTCCTTGTAAGAATTTTCGAGCATTATTTTCTGGAGAAAAAAAAATTATATTGTAGTTCTGACATTTCATATAATAATATAAAATTTAATGATACTTATACAATAGTATAAAAATCTAACGTTATTCATCTGTAAATTATTTGTTATTTTTACAGGCTGAAATATTATCTTCATGTTGTTAGTTTTGTTTTATTAGTGAAAAGTATAATCTTAACATTAAAATGGATTTTTTTTGGGTATTTTTTATTAATTATTTTTCATTAATTATTTTTTATTTATATTTTGTTAAGTAATCCTGAGACAATAGATTACATTATCATATTCATATAAACACGACCTTTCATGGTAGACGTTTTTAGTTATTTAGTGTTTTACACTTATTAAAATGGGAAAGATACATAATATTTCCCCTGAAATAAAATCACCATGATTGTGTTCCGTTAGTGGACAAGAAAAAGTGAAACACAAATGAAGAGCTTAGTGGAAGAACCGGCTAAGTGACATTATTTGAGTATTCTTCGGATGGAAGAACCAGCTAAGTGACTTGGAGACAAATAATCAACAAGCAACCCTAAAAAATCACACGCTGCGCTATATTCCGTATATTACGTGTTTTGCTATATCTTTTTAAGTGAATTAAAAAAGTTTTTGCTCACGAGTATTAAATTCATTTATATAAAGATGCAAAAAATAAATGTTGGTAAATGTTTATTTTTTTCTATTTTATTAAATAATGGTCGCAAGAATTTTGAATTGTAAGGTATACAATTTTTTACGTCTTTCTAAAGTACGTAATTTTTCATGGCAAAATGCAAATTTTGAGCTAAATCGTTTGTTGACAACGAAAAGTAGAATGTAAAGGTTAAAAACAATACAAGAGAAATGCAGTAGCCGACAGTGAAAAAAACAAAACTAGAAATATCGTAATGATTGAGAGAGGCAAATCAGGGCAAAATGTATTTGCACGAGGTTTAGAGTGGTTGTAAGGAACTCGTGTCGTTAACAAGATAATCGGCATTCATATGACAAGATTCCAGGGCATCAAGATGAGCGGATGTAACTGGGGTGAAAAAAAATTTGGTGTTATTGAAATCGAATTTATGCCCAACAATATGCGGCAATAGATGGACTTATCTACCGTGTTCTTTTAGCTTAAATTTTGAAGCGCGTTTAGTAAGGCAGATGTAGCTAATGTCACACTGGCAAGGCATGTGGCAAATGCTCCAGTGATTTTAATACTGGTAGGATCTTAAAGTGACTAAAATTTAATTTTGATAACATGCTAGTAAATGACTTTAGAACAAAACGGGATAGTATATTAGCAATCTTGCAGCAAACTGGGGAGAAAAATGGTATAATAACTAGTTCCTTGTATCTCTCTATTCTCTCTAGCTCCTACGGTATAGTAAGAGGGGTGTTTGAGTCTAGTGAGTTTAGCAAGAGCTGAATCAACTGTAGAAGGCTTAAATTTTTCCAGTTTATTTTATAGTGTAATGTATTTTCTTGTCTTATTTTTCGCCTTTATTTTTCCTTTTCTGTTGGTAACTCTACACTTTCTGTTTCAAAACACTTTTATTTCCTCATTCCCATTTAGCGAGTCGTGAGAATGGGTGCCTATTTTTTGAGCGCTTGAAAGAAGTCGATTTTTTTATTACCATCTTCATAATTTTGATGCAAATTAAGTTTGTAATTCCTCAAGTATATTTTTCTACTTTTTCTTGGAATTATTCCTTTAATTGTATATTTAGTTGCATGCAATTGTTTATATCAAAGCGCCGATATAATCGAAAACATAATTTATTCACTATTAAGCTTATAAGTTAATTAAAATATATTTTAATTAGCTTATAAGCTCAATGGTGAATAAATAATAACTGAATAAAATATGACAGATTGGGATTTTTTTCCTTCGAATTCCATTCCTATTTTAAGGACTAGTATTTTAGGCAGAAACATACCATCTTCTGTTACTATGACGTCTGTGTGTCCACTTCCATAAGTGTTAATATGGCTTATTGCTGATTCCACACTATCAACTATTTCAATTCCACATTCTAACGTACCGTACTCTAGTTTCATGGATTTAGCTGGTGGAGGACCAAATGTCAATTGATTATGTAATCGAGGTCCAGCATAGAGTGTCACCTACAAGCCAGAATAAGATGTTTAATTAATTAACTAATTAATTAGTAATAAATAACACTAATTTTAAAGGATATATATTTACTTACGTTTTCTTTCTTCAACGCATTGCAAATTTCAAAAAAGAAGTCGTTTTCTAAATGAGTGCGATGGAGTAAAATAGTTTCTAGTGCGTTGCAAGCTGAAGGGTAGTCACATTTTGAGTCCCTAACTATAAGGAGAGAACATTTAAGTTAGCCATTTTGTATGAAAATTAATATTTATGAAAGTTTATTTGAGTTGTCGAAATTAAATAGAAACAAACATGAAAATAAAAAAGGAAAAATAATAAAAATAATTAGAAAAAGGGAAAATAAATTACTTTACACAAATCATTACCTGATGTGAAGAGAAAAATTTCTATAGTTGAAAGTTTAATACATTCAATAAAAGGCGGGAGCACGCCCTTTTTCGAGGTCGATGGCATGCTCAACCAAATTGAAATAAATGTTCTCATTTCATCAAAAATAAATAAATAAATAAATGAACAAAAAAATGAATAAATAAATATATATAAAATATACAACGCATAAAAATATGCCGTAATGACCGCTTTAATATTTAATATATGTATATATATATATANGAGAAAAAATATATATATATACAAAAATTTTGGAAATATAAATAAAAATAATGAAAACTAATTGTAAAAACATGAAGATTCTCTTCGGGTAGCCTTCCCTTACGAAAATGAGGTATATCAAAATAAAGAATAATTTTCTTAAGATTAAAAGAAAGAATTGAATTAGTTGAATTGAAAGAAGGAATGCAAATTAGTTTAAAAAGAAAGAAGAAATAAAGATGGAAACAAACCTACCAACACAAAATAAATCTTACAGTTAAAAAAATATGAAATTGAAAAAAAGAAGATAGGGCCAGCTTATAGCTTGCAAGTAAGATTAATAAGATTGGAATTAATAAATATAAGCAATATAATACATATTAATAAAACTAAGTAAACAATCGCACTGGAGCTGCACAATGAGCTATTGGCGACTGTCTGGGAAACATCCTTGCGGATGATCCGAATACATGCCATCACAATTTCGATCCCCTGCAGAAGGGATGGTGCTCCCACTTCGGTAGCCCGACGACCTGCACGCGAAGTCCAGCACTTTTCGGAAGAACAGTTTAACGAGGACCGATACCGTGCACTCCCGGTTCCTACGCAGGCTGATCAAAGTGATCAGCCACCCACACACGTGATGCTTGACTTCGGTGATCTGCTGAGAGCCGTGTCTTAACGATCAGTCCACTGCGGGACATTTAGAAATAACTATTTATAATAGTTATTTCTGACCACAATACTAATCTTTCTGTTATTTTATTAGAATCAATAATTTGTAAAAATTTATTTTCTGAAATTTATTTTCTGGACTTTTCTGTAGAGTCACTATATATGGATTGTTTGTGAAGAGGGAGTGAAACAATCATAAATCAATTTCATTAAAAACTAATTTATATGGATATTTTTTTAAAATTGTTTACGCATCTCTTAAAGCTGCAGTCTGCGTAGAAACTATACGAATAATTTTAGAAACAGTATTTAATGCACTCTTGCATAATGACTCTGACCGCTGTTTATAAATGCATTTTTATGCATTTCTTTTTTATCATTGTGCAACGAAGATACACTAAGCCTGCCCATAAAAATGCTTTACCTCAAAACTTATTTTCACAATTCTCCCCCAAATAATAAGATTAAAAAAATATTCTTTGTCCAAATATTGAAAAAATTTCTTAATATTTTTCTAAAATTATAATTTTAAAAAAAATCTAAAACATTAAAAAAATTCCTCTATACTGTCAGTGGTGACTTGTCACTCCTACTCATAGGTACCCCGCTTGCATACAATTTAAGCCACGAAATCAGATTCATAACCAAAGAAAGCACCTTAATTATATATATAAAAAAAAAACGCTTATATTCAAGTGGTCTGTAATTTGCGTGTCTTTACTAATAAAACTTTTTTTAGAGAATAATACACTCGTACGTAACGTACTGTTAACGTTTTTCTTTCAAATTTTGAAGCACTTGTACAAAAAAGTTGTAATTTAATCGTTTTACGCTATTTCGAAAAAGATGGGGGGAAAGGTATTTTCGATAATTTTTCCACTTTTTAATTGCCCAATAAAATTATTCATAAAAAAAAAAATTTTTACGGTAAAATATTTATCTTCAATTCAGAATTTGTTTTATTTCTGATGAAAATTAAATATTGAAGAGGAAAATCTTTTTTTCAAAATGTTCTATTAAAGTCTAAAGGTATTCCACCTTTTATGTGGGTTTTTAACATCTCGTGAAAAACTTCAGTCACAAAATTCTTATATTCAATTATTATGCTTTTAATTCAATGCAAATAAAATCTTGAAACTAAAATTTTTGTACAGGAGGTAAATATATAAAGCTAATTTTATCTAGAACACATAATTGAATAACATTTACCGCTACATAAGTGTTATTCAATTGATTCAACTTTCAAAAGATGTTTCCTGAATAATTATTCCGTGAACTTTGTTGATCAAATTTTTAAAATAAAGTAAGATTATACTCACAGCAAAGCTAACCTTTTAGCATTATCAAGGTTATGACTGTCTGTTTGCTCCATTTTCTAGCGGTTTTGCTAAATAGCACATATTATCATTAAACTCAGTGACGTTTTAATATTGTATAATTGTTTTTTAAAATTTTTGTCCGTTTCACCAACAATTCAGTTCACGTCATAAAACGTACTTCAATATTCGTAATAAAATTTAATTTTTCACACAGAGATGAATTTAAATTCAGATCTGTACCAAAACCCATTTGAGTCCATTCAACTTTAGTTGTTTAAATCAAAGGCGTTATATTATATTGTAATAGCACAATCTATACCAGGGATGGGCAAATTTTTTTGGTCGAGGGCAGAAAATCGAACAAAAAATTTTGTTGGGTTAAGTAAAAACTTCTAAAATAAAAAAAACCATATACAAGTTTTAATTTAAATATTTAATGAGATGAATGAAATTGCGATTTCATTTTTAGAAGTTCCTTACGTTGAAGTTCCAAGTGAGATGTACTTATTTTAAGGAACGAGGCTAAATGTTTGTCTGCTAGTCTATTTCGGAAATGATTTTTTCTAAGGTTCATAGTTGAAAATACTTGTTCATATATATAAGATGAAGTAAACATAGCACTGATTCTCTGGGCATGAGATATTAAATTTGGGAAATTAGCCTTTGGTAATGATTTGTAAAACTTAAACTTTGGCATATTTAGAAACAACTGCCTCAGATGGCGCCAATCTACGGCTATTCTATAAAGAACTTTAGCTTTCAACATTTTACCAAATGAAGCTATTTCCATCAATTTATGTTTTGTTGAACAAAAATAGAGAAAGTAAAAAGGTCATCAGTACTTTGTTAAAAAAAAAAAGAACAAAAATAGCTTTAAACAAAGTAGACAGGAAATTGGATGCATATTGTTAATATTCGCCACGGATTGGCAAGTTAAAATTCTATCCGCGGGCCTGATTAAACATTCCGGCAGGCAACAGTTGGCCCCCGGGCCGTAGTTTGCCCATCCCTGACCTATACAATATTAACGAAAATACTGATAAATGAATAAAATAATCCATACTTATTTTAATTGCTTTTGCCTTATCGGCCATTTCATCAACATATACATGACATACACCTTCGCTGTGACCAAGAACTGGAATGCCTTTACTTTGTCTCTGAATATCTTTTACCAACGTAGAGGAACCTCGAGGTATCACTAAATCTATGTAATTTTCCATTTGTAGAAGTTCTGAGACGTCTTCACGAGTTCCTACCTAAATTGAATACAAAGTTTAAATGATTTAATAAAGCAACATATTAAAACAAAAGTTTTCGAAGGCTCTATCGTAACACGAAATAATACTTTTTAACTATTAGTATGATAGTTTTACAACTGCAATGAGTTTTCCACAGTCATTCCTAACTGCTATTAGGTCAAGTTTGGACTATCTTTAGCCAGCATCCTCTACACCAGCTGTTCTCAAATAGTGTTCCTCGGAATCTTAGGGTTCCATGTAAGAGTTAAAGGGGTTCCGCGAGTTAGCAATTTTAATAAGTTTCGAAACCTCCTATTATATTTCGATACAATCTATAATTTATTTAATCTTACTGTTGCCTATAAGAAATTATTTCAAGTAAAATGTCAATGAAATAGAAATGTCATTTTTAAAGGAAAATATATAAAATTATGCAGTTATGAAACATTCCATTAGTATTCCCTATCGTACTTATCAAATCAAAATATTTAAATTTTTGAATGCAGAAATATATTTCTATAATAACAATTTTCAACGTTTATAGCAGTTATTTTCTTTCATTTCGAAGTAAACCATAATTCGGTTAATTTTAATCCTTTTCAGCTAATGTATATACACCAGAAATAAATTCCTAACTAGGCTATATATAGCACAACGTCTGTAAATTTAATTGTCGGGCATAAAACCTAATTTAAGATAATTGATAGAACGAGGAGAAATCTTCCTTCTTCTAATTAAATATTTTAAATATGCTCTTTAATAGATTTTAACGTTCCCATTACCTTAAACTTTATTTATAAACTTGGAGAAGAAGATGGTTGATTATTTAGGAAAGAAGGAATTATTAGGAAGTCAAAAGAAGCTTGATTATTTAGGGTTCCGTAGCTAGAAAAAGTTCGGAACCACTGTTTTACATTAATTCCAATCATGGCGCAAAACTTCAATAAGAAGAGTCACAGTTTTTTGAAAATGAAAAGCTTTTGAAGTCGTATTTTTCTGTAATTAAAAAGTTATTCTAGCACTTCAGTATCTGGGCTCATAAAAATTTGTAAAAAAAAGTATTTGGTAACTTTTAAAAAATTTAAGTTATCTGTTCGTTCGTAAGTCCAGGTAATTCTTTACCTCAAGGTGGTATATGTAGTTAAAAAATATAGCGCGCTTTACCTCTAGTGTGTGTAAGTTACTTGAACTATGGCCTTTTTATTGTCGTTGGTGAGAGGGCTTTGAAAAATATTGACAAGATAAAACTAAGAGAGAATGCGCATTGTTTTGCTTGAGGGGGGGGGGAGTACAGCATGCTTGCTACTATACCAGATAGTTATACATCAGCAATGCTGTAGTGTCTACTTGAATGATCAAGCTGATTGTTACGAACGTTAAGCATAAAACATAACCATTTTAATTTGCCATTTCCAAAGAAAGTTCTTGAATTTTCATTGCTGTACCTCTGATTTTCTACAGCACGGTAATAGTATAAAACATATTAAAATTATATAATTTTTCAAAAGCTGTAAGCCTTGATTAACGGTGCGTACACCAACGGTTCTTTCTAGATGTGATCATACTAAAAAAAAAGCAGCGTAATCATTCCTTCCAAAATAGGAGAGTTTGCGCGTTTGCTACTTAGAAGAAAAAAGAAAATAGCTCCCAAGGCCTGACTTACGAATAAGCTAGATAGGCTGCTGCTTAGGGCTCCAAGAACTACAAGGGCCCACAAAGACGATACATATTTTTGGGCTTTGTGAAATGAATAAACTTAAAATGTGTTTCTGCAGTAACTTTTTTTTCTTCAGAGAATTAAAGTTTAACAGTTATGAAATAAAAATAAATTCTACATTTAGCCCCATTATTATCAATATACTTCTTAACTATATTTAAATTTCCAGCCAAGTAATATAATCAAATGCTGTTAATTTTATGTTTAATAATCAACGATAAATTATTATAACAGTTTGCTATTGGTGTGTAGAAAATGGAGTTGAACATACAGGGGCCCTACTATTTTCAATGACTTAGGGTCTGACCAAGCCTAAATCTTGACGTGATAGTTGATGCGCTTTTCTTATTCTTATATCATTAGGCTGAAATATTTACTCCTAATACCATAATATTTGTTCAAAAAGAAAAAAACTTCACAGCAATGAAATTTTCTACTATGCAATTAAGTGTAATTATTATTGTTAACAATCTCTTCTACCCATGTCCGTAACCTCTCTTACCCTCTCAAAACAGCTGTTGTCATAAATAATAGCGTAATAAATAATAGCGTAATAACAACAAGCAGTGAAAATGCATTAAAAATAAATATTGTCAATATTTTTCCTAAATAGTTTAGCAAAAAATTATTTTGTGGATTTGTTCTTATTGTTAGGTTGAATTGTGGCAGACTCTCTTAGATTTCCTTAATTAAGAGAAATATTTGTTTTTACCAGTGAAATTGCCTCAGATACATCATGGATAGCTAAGGCTTCACCAACTAATTTCATTAAATATGAATTTGTGTGGCTTGCTTCTTTTCCTCCTTTTAAGAGTAATCCATTTGCTGAACTAATTGCTAAAGCTGCTACCTAGAATCAAAACAATGATATCAAAATTAAAAACTCATTTAAAAATTTCAACTACCATTCAAGAGGGTTGGGACAATATAATGATAAACCACATTTGCAAATTGTTTAGAGATTTTAAAGTCTTTTCAATGGGAAAAAAATACAATTTTTAAGTAGGCAATGAGATATTTTGGTTAAGATAGTTTGGTTATTTAAAAAAACTGGTTTTTATAAAGTTTTTATTAATTTTTAGCAATAGTCGAAAAAATATTAAACACTAACATACATAAATATTTACATCATTTTAAAGTACTTAATTTGAAATGCAAAATTTGTACGATATCGGTAAAATAGTTTTTGAGTTATCAATGTTTAAAAAGTTGTATGTTTAAAATTGGGTTTATCAGTACTCGACTGATTTAGTTCAAATTTTATATCTTGTCCTTTAAAATTGCATATCTTAAATGATGTAAAAATTAGTATGCTTTGCAATGTAAAATATTTTGGACTGTTATTAAATGAAATAACAAAAAATAATAATTATAAATGACTTTTGCTTTACTCTGATGGCAAATAAAAATAATAAATAATTATTAAAGAATAGTTTTGCCTGACTCTGAAGGCCAATTAAACCTTTTATCAGATATACTAATAAAATTGATTCGCCGTTTACTGTCGTTAATTTTTGATAAATCTTTGATACCAGAGATCATCATATATCACCACTCATATTTGTCCAAATCTATATCTCATATGTACTATAATTACTAGAATTTAACGGATTCTGTATGGTCCTAATTTCCATTGCAACACGTGTAAGCAACTCGGATATTTCAGCACGTGCATACATAATAATAAATATAATATTATCTTACTGATTCAACAAGCTTAGTGCATTAGTAATAATAAATAAATTACTTGCCAATTTTAATTTTACTAGTTTCTTAAATATATTTTTAATTTAAAAATATTTTATTGAAAAAATCAGTAAATATAGTAAATATTATTAAATAAAATTATTATCTCTCAAATAATCAATCCAGTACTTTCTATAAAATACTTTTAAAGGGACAGTAGTGATAGGGACGGAAGTAACAAAATGTTGAAAAATAGCTATGTGCTTAAACCTAGTTAGACTTAATGGCTTATTACGTGTTTATAAAATTAGTCCTTAGGAAGATTTTTAATGAATAAACTAAATAATAGTTGTAAAAGTAAAATAAAATATAGGAAGAGGTGTACAATAGTAAGGACTAATAAAAAATATTCTTACTTTTAAGCTTTTTAGTAGGATTCAAAAATCTTTAATGAAAAGTCTGAAATTTACAATATTTCATCTGCTTATAAAGAATAAGGAGTCATACTGATTCATTCCTATTCTATCAGAACGTGTGGCCCTTTAGTGGTAGAGTAAGTGTATTACAGTAAGTGTGTACTTTACTTTAGCGATATTTACAGTAAGAGGCAGCATTTTTCTGATTAATTGTGAAAATATAAAAATACTAATGAAAAATGTGGTATAAACTTCTTGCACACTTAATATTTAGCAACAATGGGTCGACGAGAGAAGGGTAATCCTTTTCTCCGGTCTACTGTGTTAGCCCTAGAGTGAAGAGAAGCTAACATATTTTGTACTAAGTTGAAAATTTATTTTAAATATCAGACTCTAAGGTTCAGTGACATTTTACACATTCAAATTGAGTTGTTAGTCAAAATACTTGTGATAAAATGGAAGTTTTAATACCATAAAGAAAAGAAAAAAACTTAATACGGAATTTAAATAGAGGAAAGGCAAGGGACATAAATGCAACACTTTCTGTCCCATAAATGAAAGAATTAAATAATTAATTATCCAATCTATTGATTGGGCGAGGCGGGGGAATGCAAAATTTCTAAATGATATATTACGTCATAAATTAGTCGAAAAAATGGAAAGTTAGAATTGTTCATACTGACAAAACAAAGAAAAAGCAACACAAAATTGCGGAAGCTTCATTTATTTTATTAAATTCTTTTTTAATTAGATTAGATGCATATGATAGTAGATAAGATACATATGATATCAGATAAGATACAAATGATATTAGATAAGATACATATGATTTAAATTAGATATGATAAGATGCATATGATTAATCACGCTTTTCGGAATCCGGTTATTGTAGATTGCAATGTATGACGTAATATGTGCAAAAGTACCGTATTTTGTGGGGGGGGATGAACACGCAGCAGCAATATGAGAAGTGCCAGTCTGATCGTAATAAGTTTTTGCAATACTGTGACGCACACTGCTGTAATTTGTTTGAATTAAAGAGAAAAAAATTAAGACTTTATGCCAGTGGGAGTCATTTGCGATTTCGAGAAAAACCTTGAATGGGAGATCTAGAAAGATATTTTTGGATAAAAATGGAAAAAAAATTGGATTTGTCTGCGTAATATGTGAACCTTCAAAAGTAGCTTTCGATTTCCCCGAAATCAGGAATATAATCCACAGTTTTTAATAAATATAAAAAAATTCGCTAGCAATGATTATGCTGATTCCTTTTTTCTGCCATACTTGACTGGTTATAAATAAATTAAAAAAATTAGGTAAAGGTTTCGATCTCTTGAGATAAAAAGAAAATTGGTGTAAACGTACATGGATTTTCTCAAATTAATCACAACAGATGAAATTTTAAAAAAATTGCTTGCTATCCGTTCAATATGGACGAAAATGAAGTGCTATTTAATATTTGTACAGATAAAGTAATTGCAGAAAAAGTCTACTTCTATCCAAATGACTGCTAGAAAAAAATGGATTAAGCGTTAGTGATGTAGTATTTATTGGTTTCATGAATTGTGTATTGAGAACCTAGGTCGAGTCTAAAAAACTGTTTAAATTAATGAATTAATATTAAATACATATTAAAAATAATTAATTAATGGGATTAAAAAAGTCAATTTTACTTGAGGCAAGCAGTCTGGTCTACTTTCAAATATGACGAGGAGTACTCCAATTGGAACGGTAATTTGACGAAGTTCCATGCCCTCTGCAATTTGAGTTTTTTTCAACAACCTACCAACAACTTTGTGAGAAGATTCTGCAATTTGTTTCAGGCCATCAGCTAAACTGTTCAGTTTACTTGGTGTTAAGCTAAGTCTGGAAAGTAATGGTGCTGCAAGACCTATTTGAGAGAATTCAAGTAAGTAATGCTTTTTTTCACATTCTTTATTGTTAAACATTAAAATAAAATTGCAAGATAGTTGCAATAATATAAGGGTTTTAACTGACTTTAAATTAAATTAGGTAGGCTACATAGAGTGTTGGCGTGGGGTAAGCCAGGAGTCATTACGATTTTAAGGATGTAGTTGACTTTTTGTTATTGGTTCCATTACGTTTATTCTAAGCTTGATATATTTGAAGAGGTTCTGGCAAAAGTAGTGTTAAACCACTCTTTTTCTAAAGGTAATAATTTTATATTAAACTGCTCCGTAGTAAATACTTCACATTCCCGGGATATTTACTAGATAACTAGATTTATGCAGAAACATCTGATTGCCTACATGGAAATTATGGTTTTTTCTTTTAAAACACTTTTCTCTAAAATTTGAAAATGAGGTTTATCATTATATTCCACAAGCTATTCATGTTATGCAAATCCTTAGTATATTTAACATGAATCAAAGAAAGACAAAAAGAATGAAGTATCATTTGTAGAACAAGTGTTGTGATTTAAAGAGTGTAAAGATGTAATTGAAGAGCTTTGTGAAAGTGAAAGAACAAAGCAAGTCCAGATTCACATATATTTGATGTGAGTCAAGTTAAATAGAAAATGACAATAGGGTTATGTACTCGCATTATTTGAGTCTCAGGGGGAGACTACTGCTACATTTGTACTCGGTTACAGCGCTCATAGCAGTTCAGCACACAAGAAATACTTTAAGAATTTGTTCTCATTTGGTTGCTCCAAGCTCCTATATTTCTGAATTAAAATTTGATTTAACCTTAGGATTTAATTTAATGTAAGTCTAATTTTAATTGAAATTAGAATTGAGTTTAAATTTAAAATAAAGATCTAAAAATTTGCTACAATTAACTTTCATGTGTATTCCATTCTTTAAAGATAAGAATCAACTTAAAATTCCGGACCTTTTTTTTTAAATATGGAAGTCTAAAAATACTCGTTAATGCTGTTCTCTACATTCTTTTAAAGAAAAGCACCTCATAAGCGTTTTGTTCAAATTCTAAAGAGCAATTAAAACATTTATAATAAAATTAGGATCATTTTCCTCCAATGAATTTTCAAAAAAATTAAAATGCAATTCAATGTCATTTAATAATGCCCAAAACATGTAAAACTTATTATCGGACTCTTCTGATCCTTTCCATGACTTCACACTTCGCGTTACAGCAACGGTGTGAACATCAATCCTACGAAATGAAAAAAAGAGACTTCCTGTAATTGAATTCCTGTCACTTACAGGATGGTCTTAAGATATGGAGACATGGGAGAAAAGCAGCTTGCAAAACCATTTCAAGAACCTCTACTACTGTGCTCCTAAATGTTGCTTTTACCTTTATACACAGGGACCGTATGAACACTTGGGGAACTGGTTTACATTATCTCTATGGAAGCTAGCCTTCTTCCCCTATGTATATTCTTTGCTGTAATGTTGGTGTATTACTAAAATATTTACAATTCTGTGAGATTAAGATATTTATCAAATAATTTATTTTAGTTACCTGATGCTTCACTTTCTCGTATATCTATTGCATTTGCTGCAAGAATTTGTTCTTTGCGGTTTGAAAGAAGTTCGGCTAAATGTAGAATTATTTCAGCTCGTTGATCTCCAGTAAGTTCTTGTAATTTCCGGCTCCCTTTCCTAGCTAAAAATGAAAAGAATCTTGATAAATAACTTTCCTCCAAACACTTTTGATTAATGAGGTAAGAACACAAGGCTTGAATACTATATGCCCAGAATAGCATAATATCTGAATATGTAGAAAAGCCAAGTCTTAACTTATCCACTCATGATAAATTCCTACACTTCTTATGAAGTTAGAAAGCTAAAATTTGGAATATGTGTCTTTTATTAGATAAATAGAATCTCACATTTGGACTACGTGGACCACGAAAAAACTAGAAGAAGATTTATTTCGATGTTTTGCAGTTATTGAGGTAATTAGCCTAATTTACAGTATGCTAAATAACATTTTCCCTCGAATTACCACCATGCGTGTGTGCAGGTAAAGAGCAATATGGAACTGCGAAGCGGTAAGTTCGTGTTGGTCACAGCAGGCGGCTAGTCGAATATCAACTGCTACAAAGTCTATCGACCAACTCTGACAAGGATATCATCAAGTGTAACATAAAACTTTGATATATATTTTAAGAAATATATGTACCTATACAAAAATACAGAGGAGATGAATTTTAATATATTTTTTTTAAAATTGATAACAATTTGATTGATTATTATTTTTTAAAATTTAATTTGATTTTGAATGGTTTTCATATTAAACCCACAAAATTCTAAACTAAAAGAATAAGATTACAACCATCGTGTTGTGTCTGCAACATAATGTAAAAATACAAACATCTTTTCTTCAAGACGTTTCAGCTGTTCAAAACCATACAATAATACTCCTTCGATGCTTTTGTACTCTTTTTTTTAATCTAGGTGATTTATTTAGGGGTTCTTTTTGGGATAACTTCACTTTTCAGTTCTTTACTGACAAAATTATCGAGGAAATTCTCTTTAATTAGACATACTCTTACTGCGCATTTCGAGTTCCTTGAATTAAAGCATCGAAGCAATAAAAGGGCAATATGATAAATAAATAAATTAGTTAAAAAACTAAGAAAATAACACTGTGGTTGGTATGGACCTAACCGAGCATGAATCTTTTTAATATAAATTATTATAAAGTTTATATTAAAAAGCTTTGCTTGATAGGAAGAATTTACATTATATTTGGTACTATTGTTTGATAGAGGTAAATTATCTAACACCCAACGAAAATATTTTGTTTTAGGAATGCTATTTGACCGTCATTCTTTGTTTTTCAATCCACTTTTCAGTTCTGCTAATCACAGCGTTTATTTTGGAGAATTAAACGTAGTAAATATTTAGTCTCCAGTTACACTCTATGCTTGAAAGTATGAAAGTATTTTGAAGCATGTCTGCTAAAGACAAAAAATAAATAATTAAAATAAAACAAAATGCCATATCACCCCCGATAAGGTGTAACTGAAACCAGCTGTAAAATTTTAAGTTTATGTTAATGATTAGGTAACAAGTTGTTAAACAAAATGAACATCCACCGATTAAAATCTTTACTAGAAAAAAATAAAAGTTCAAAAAGTATACTTTTGACATTTTTAATGTTTCAAGTATTTAGTTAGCACAAAAAAGTTTAAGACGTTTAATTTGATGAAGGAAGTTTCGGAAATAAGTTCAAATTAAAAAAGTATAACGTCTTCTAGTGATTGTTAAAGGTTGCACATAACAGTAGGGACAATGTTTGCAAGGTTCATAGTTTAATAGTTTTGTGTTCTTTGTCTCCTCATACAAGAAACAACAATGAATTTAAAAACAAAGAAAAAAATCAAAATGGAAATATAATCAATAAAGTAAATAAACTATATAAGTACTGTTTGAGATTATGTTTAAAAATGCTTACAGGGAAATAACAAAAAAACACTGGTTACATCTGAAATATAACTAAAAATGTATAAATTTACCTTTTAAACAATTACAATACTTAAATATGTGATCCAAAACTTCACGAATAGACACAATTTGAAGCATGAAAGTTAACAATTCAAATCAAAACAAGGATGCTAAAAATGAGCATAAAGTGACATTTAATAAAAGCGTTTGTTAAATTTTGATTATCCCGGATAATCGTACATATGTTGTTATAATGCTGGATGACGGTACATGTTTAGCCAATGAAATAAACAAATATCTGCATAATTTTTAATCAATATTTTCAGACTAACTTGTACTTTAAATAAGCATCCATAAAATATATTCATTACTACTGAAAAGTAAAAATAAATACTACATATACCATTAAATGGCTTCAAAACAAATAAAACTAGGAACGATTATTGCATAGTAGTGAAGTTAATAAAGTATGAAACATTTTACTGGGAAACTCACTAAATTCAACGTCGATGAAGAATTCGAAGTTTCATATTTTTGTATGAATGATCACATGCGAGCTCATATCTCTTAAACGTGTTTTATGAAGCTTTATTCAATGATCAAAACAATGCGTACAGTATACTGCGAAAAAAAATTTTTGAAATTTGAATAAACGTTTACTAAAACTGTAATGGTTTACGGTATCGTTTTTTGCACACTTTGAAAGGATGTATTAATTTGAGCGATATTGCAAATACCTTTACCTATTAATCTTATACATATAAAAATGCATAAATAAAAAAACAATAAATAATATAAAATACATGAATTATATTTAAGAAGAAAATTTTTTTTACTATCATACTAGCATTTAAAATATTTAAAGTCATTTTGTTCGCTGTATTAGCATTTTAAAAATTGTAGATTACTGAAAACAGCGCTCTAACCATTTATAGCATTAGTTTCGACTGTAACAGTCACGTTTTTATGGTCAGTGAAGAACGTTCCGATCCGTCTGCCCTGAACAATACGACTTACAGCCTGTTCGTCCATACCATTGCAGATGACAACTGCAATGCCTCGCTCCAGAGCCCAGCTAGCTGCAGCCACCTGTAAAAATAATGTTAAAGGGAATATAATTATAGAAATGATAATTTATGAGTACTTATTGTTTATTCCATTTACAAATTCAATTTATAATTGCTAGTAATATGTTACGTCATTTGCGTCACTCTGTTCTCGAATACTCCACTTACATCGACCGGTGGCCACTCGCTTACTCAGATATTGCTTTGTTGTCAGACTCGATGGAGAGTGGCTCAGTGAAAGAATTTAAAAGGACGCTATGCCAAGGGAGAAAATTTTCATGACAAATTTTGTTCACCTCTATTGATACTTTAAAATTTTAAGTTTAGAGAAAAGGGAGTTCAAGTGAACCTAAATAAAAACTAGAGTGACCATGAAGTTTTAAATGCTGAAAAATTTGTTTCCAAAATATTAAAATGCAAATGAATTATTGCAGGATTAGTTCAGTTGCGTAATCCTGTCATAATTTGCTTACATTTTTATAGCTTGAAAAAAAATCATTTTAGCATTTGAAACTTACAGCTTAATCTGCGTTTAACTGAACTCACATTTTTTCTAAAAAAAAAAGCAAAACAGGACAAAATTCTGACAGTTGGAGTCCATACACTGCAAAGCATCAGCTTTTAAGCCCGGTACAATCTATCAATTATTCACTTCATTGATAAACAATTTTTTTTTAAAGTTCATTCGTAGCTCAATGTACAAACAACAAAATGAAAAACGAACTATCTGTTACAACTTTCAATGTTACCATAGAAAATTCATGCACTATCAAAGGGGACATTTTAAAATATATCAATTAATTAAGTACATTCAAACTCGTTTATAACGAGTGCGAAGGGACCGCAATATTAACTAGTTATGAAATAGTGCTCATAAATAAGCCTGCTGGCTAAAAAAAATCATGAAGGTTCATACATACATGCTAAATTATAGCACTTATTGCCTCTTTGTTGTGTTATTGTTCTTTGAATAAGATTCATGGAACAAACATCGTCATTTACACACCTGCCATCAGAAAAAAAATTGAAGTTTTTCTGCGCATTCAAAAGCCATTGAGTACGTCGGAAGGGGGGATCTGCATGAAATACTTCAAATCCATTGTTATCATCATCGTTTTCATTATTTTTTCATCTGCTTTAACTTGAATTTTAACTAAAATATCCTCAGAAGTAGATAGGTATCTTGGAAGTGATAGCATTAGCGCTAACAGACATAAAACTTTCAAATTCTCTCGACTCATTTTCAGATTTTCAGAGTCTGATACTTTTTCCTCAGTCACAAAGTAATGCTTGCTAAAACCAGTGTTTGTTCGAAATATGCTCTTACAGAATTAACATTGTATCAACCAAGTAATTCCGATTTCTTCGTTAAATTCGGACCCTTGTTAAATCAGGGCTCGTGGCAAGCGGATTTTACTGTAGATGCAATATTTTTAGTTAAGAAATCGAACACAGAACTAATTTATATTTCACATTAATTAAAAAAAAAATCAAGCTTACCTTTGATTCCATTCCACCTAATCCCACACTGCTTTTTTCACCAAAATGAATATTGCCATCCAGAGAAGGGCAATAACTATAAAGAAACCGAGCACCATCTTGATCAGGTGGTAGAGTATAAATACCATCTACGTCAGACATCAAAACCAATAAATCGGCATTCATTTCTGCCGCTAAATGAGCTGCTAAGCTATCATTGTCCTTGATGTTTATCACTTGCTAAAGAAGTACACATTAAATACATAACGAGTTTTACAAATATTTTCATTATGAGGTGAAATTGTTGAAATCGGTATACGTTTTGAGTACTTACCCCTTTTTCGTTATATTTTGCGACACCTATTGAATAATCCACATCTGGAGTTACCACTGTATCATTTGTGTTTACAATCGGAATTATGTTCAAGGCGAGAAGCTCTAAAACAGTACTTTTCAAGTTAAAACGACTGTCAGGATTATAAAAGTCAGGTTTAGTGACAAGGACCTAAAAATGATGTCAAAGAATTTGGTGATTTTAATACATTTGTACTGATTGATGAGACAATGCTTTAATGTATACAGGGTGGGTCAAATGAAACCAGCTGTCAAAAAGAGACAGAGAAAGAAAAAAAGAGAACATGGTGTGCCGTTAAGTAATACCTAATTTCTAAAAAGTCTTAATTTCGTTAAATACAGGTGACAGGGTTGTTAAGTAAACTAAACCTGTCAACAGTAATATAAAAAACAGTATAAAATATTCAAGAGGTTAATTCATCTTCTTTTATTGCCTTATTATTTGTGATGCATGTTATCACGTTATATCTGTTAACATATTAATCTACGCAATGTCATGTTTTATTCCAGAACTGTTTGATTTGGCCCACCATGTATTTTGCAATAAAAATAATAAAATTTTAGAAGAAGGCTTTGTAATCATATGAACTGGGGAGTTTTGATTGATTATTTTCAAATCAGTAATTTCTACAATATTATTTCATGAACCATCTTTGCTACTTCAAATAAGTTTTTAAAAAAAATCGATAATCTTGTTATTATAAGACAAGCAGTATTGTAATAGCAATAGTTAATTAAAAACATGCAATTTTTTCCTGAACCTCAAACTATAAGGGTTAGCCGCAATTTGAGAAATATCGTCCCTATAGTTTGGTCAGAAGTGCGGTTCAACGTTTACCTTTTGCGTATTCACCGTATTCACTTTTTGCGTATTTCACCGTATTTCAGAAATTTAAACGAATCAAAAAATTTTTGCTTAAGGATATAAAATTCGTTTATCCAAAAATAATTCAGCGCATAAAATAACTTTCAGTTAATATTTACTATTTTATTTAATAACAGTAAAAAAAATTTGAATTTTAAAGCTAACAATTTTTCACATAATTTTAAAGAGTGTAATTCTATAAGACAAACTACAAAATTTAAACATAATAGATCGAATACTTTCTGAGAAATCGAATTTTAAATATAAAACATATTGTAAATTCGATTTCTTGGAACTATTCTTCCAATTTCGTCCAGATTTTGTATTTTCCTTTATAAAAGTTTCTTTGAAGGGATTTAAAAATTTATATAACTTACTATTCATTTCTTACTACTATTGAAAAAATAATAAAAAAATAAGGAATAATAAGTAAAACTTATTTTTCATATGGAATTATCTTTGGAAAAACTAATTTTATAATTGTGCTCAAAAATTCTTTGATTCGATTCGCTTAAAAAAATTCCCAAGATATTGCGAAATACTCAAAAAGTAAGGTTAACTTTAGAGTCCAAACTTTAGACAGCTTTCCTGACCTAACCATTGGAACCATATTTCCCTGATTGCTGCGTATCGCTATATTTTCAGGGTTAGAAATCCATATCCATCGAAAAAATGGTATGTTCAGTTAGATGAAGTACATTTTTGTGTCTGATATCGCAATTTAAAATATCGTCTGGCGTAATTAATTAGCATAATTGAGTTCACCCCCTCGAACCATTTAAATTGAATCCACAGTATGTGAAAATCCGATCGTTAGATCAAAATTTAATTAAAATGATTTTTCTTAAGTGTATTTTGCTGCAATCGATTTTTTTTCCCGATAATTTTTTATAAAAAAGGAATAATTTTAAAAAAAATACAAGAAGAGCGTTTCTTTTTCCATAAGTTATATTGCTTTCGCCCTAACGGAGTTTATCCATGGTTTTGGCATTAGAAGAATGTAAGTTCTGTGTCTAGTTCCATAACGAACCTGGATACTGAACCTTTAATTTGTCTTGATGAAAATCTTTATTCTACGAGTAGTTTATCTAGATTTCGTAAATTATCTGTAAATTTTTCATTTTGGTTGAATGAACTAATTCAATATCCTTGAACAGATATAGGATAAGCTCGAATAGAATCTTGAATAATAATCTTGAAAAAAAATATGTTGAACGTATATTGACAGTTCCATGAATTGATTCTATATATCTTGATTACATTAGTTGATGCCATGTAAGTCAGGTTTCAATATTGATTCATTTATTGTAATAAGTAATCAATAAAAAAATTTTTAACATTTTCTACGTTTCTCTCGCATTTATACTAATTTTAACTCGTAAAACTCATTCGACGAAAATAAGATTCCAACAAAATTTTGAGTGACTAATAAATTGCAACTTAGAAGTGCCAGATGGCTTAAACTGTATTATTGACGCAACCAGAGAAACAGATCATGGTTCAAAGACAAAACAATATGATGTTATGCGTTTTAAGAATCAATGACTAGAATAGCATAATATATTTGAATGGTCTTCAGACCTCAGAGGAGCATTAACTGCATTCGAGTTCAATACATAATCTTTTGAAGATGTAATACGAGGATCAAAACGGATTTTTCAATAAAATAGCACTAACTTACGTCAACGAAATGATGAATAGAGCAAACGTTGTAGTTTAAAATTGGTCAGCTCTTAAACGTGATTTGAATCTTATACGTTCTATCTCACGTTCATCTATCTATACGTCACCCTGACAACGTTCTCTTTACCCCAACGTTCCTTACGAATATGGTGACTATGGGGAACAACTATGTACATAAAAAAATATGCCGTGATGGAAGTATGCACAGATGGAACTAAAATAACCCATTGAAATGGTACTGTTCAAAATGAATCTGAAAAATACAGTTTCAGTTGGTGAAGAAGCGGCGCAAGTTATTATATATTTTTATTTATTTAATTTTGATAAAGAATATTATATGTGTTACTTAACTTCTGTGACAAGCTAATTTTTATATCTATTCATTTCATTTCTTCTTTTTTTACTTCAAATATTCAGCCTTTGTTTCTCTTTTAAACTTTTTACCTATCTATTTAGCAGTTTTAGCGAAACTATTGTGAAAATCATATGTAACCTTTTAGAATTTATAGTGGAATTGTTTCTGTGCCTGAAAGAAAAACTTGGTAATAGAATAGATATGAATTATATACTTTAAAACTTAACAAAAACAAAACGATAGCATTCTTATAATTTTTAGGATTAATGCTGATAGAAGACTCTTACTTGAGCTATATGTACTCCATACTGTGCAAACATTACGTCATATAGAGCCATGAGACCTTGAATAGATAACAGTATCAGAAACCATTATAAGTAGACTGCAAACGTTTGATGTAATTTTTATTAAAAAAATAACATTCTAATAATATTTGCATTTAGTTTAATATGAAGTTATATAAATCAGCAAAACTTTAATGGTACAATGCACATTTTTATTTGGAAAGCTTTGAAGATTTAAAGAGATAAAAAAATTTATATTTTAGGACTTACGCTGGATACGTTTAATTTGACTCAATTTAAGAATATATTTTTTTTTCACACTCCATTTTGACCTTGCGCTCTATTTTGTCTCTTATCTGCTGTGTTATAACAAGATATTTATTAAAGTTTCATTAAAATATCACGTGTTTGAAATTTCATGAGATATGTCTGATTATGTTGAAAACACAGAATTTTTTCCTTTCTTTCTTTTTTTTTTCCTTTAGGTTTTTGTATCTATATATTTATTATTTTGAAATACTAACTATGCTAAGTTTTCTGTTCTGGCTTTTACCGAATAAAATCATGTCCATGTCAATTTAAATGCTTCTTGTCCTGATGAAGAAGAATTTTTGATAGCTTATAGGTTTTAAACTAAATGTAATTTATTTGTTTTGTGTTTTCTCTGTACATAGTTTTGGAAGTTTTATTGCACATTATATATAAAAAAAAATTTTCAATCGGTGAAAAATAAAATAAAATTATGGGAAATTTGCAGCTATATAAACATTGTTTTTGCCTCTACTACTAAACAATAACATGATTGCTTACCATAACTGCGCCATGACATCAGTGATTCCAGATTTATTTTTATGGATCATCTAAAATTAAAAATCTTTGATACTGTGAGACTATGCTCCAATCATATGACAAGAAACTCATAAAATCTCCTCGTGTTTCTTAAAAGCAATAGTTAACATACCAAGATTTCTTAATTGCTGGAAAAACTTCGATATATACATTAAATATTTAATTCCCTTTTAAAAATTAATTGGTTCAACTATTTTCTTTTTATTACTTAAAATTTGAAATAGTGAAAAAAAAAAGAAAAAACTATTAATACCCCTGTGCATTGCAAAAAAAAAAAAAAAAAAAAAACGGAAGATTCTTATTAGATACTCCTAGATACGAGCTTTAAATAATGGCAAAAAATGCAGCTTAAACTTAGAAATAGTAACATAGAAAAAGGCAAACTCATAAATGCGACAATTTTTTTTAAATTTAATTAAATTAAATTTAAGTTTTTTAATAATTTTCATTAAATAAATTTATAAAATTACAAATTACTCATTTTACATATTGTGGAATATTTTTCATAGTGTGTGACTTCAAATTTTGGTTTTGAAACAATATTCACAGAACTCAAATATTTAGATATTTATATGCTATAAGGTTGCTCAACTGGCTAATTGAATAAAATTTCGTATCTTCCTTACAATTTTTCAGTGTAATTAAAAATTCCGAATAACGAGTGGGGTAAAACCAATCATATTTCTGAGAGAACAATCCCTTTGTGAGAGCGGCATGTAATCAGAAAAACAAATCCCAAAATATTATTAAGTGATAAATTTATATCAATATATTTGACACTGGGTCTGGGCCCATGTCCAAGAGATCGTGGGTTTAATCCCTGCCGGCCGAAGACTCCCCTTGTAGTAAATGGTTACTAATGCACGATAAATCTGTCAAATCTCAAATTCTTCCATGTCCCCATAACAAATCATACCTCTGGGGGTACTGATCCAGGAGTTTCCTTGTCTTCTGGATTGGTTCAAAATTGCAAGGTTACGGAGTTTAGCATTAATAGTCGTAAACCCAAAATTGGGTCGGCTGTTCAATGACGGTTATAAAATAAAATAAAAATCATTAACGTCATTTAAGTTCAATAATATAGGAGAAACATGGACTACATTTATTTAAAGCCTTTATTTAGCTGACAAGCAATAGATTGCAGCACGGTATCAAGCTCACGGAGAAAAAAATTCTGGTAAAATTACCCTACTATAGTAATGACATCTGAGAAAAAAAACAACAACATAATTCTGGTTAATGAAAGCAAAATGTATGGTATTTAAACTATTCATTTGAATATTTTTCATTTATATGGTAACGTTTTTCCGAGAATTCTGGTTTCCAAAAGCTATAATTCTCATCACCATACATTTAGTAAAAAAAGCAAAACTGAAAAGTAAATTTAACCGAATAAATGGTTTTTATGCTCTAATATATCTTGGCAAAGTTACCAAAGTTCACTATATTTACCAAATTTCCCCACATTTACCAAATTTTATCACATATTTTCAAACTACATTTTATTGTTAATTTTATCAACATCATTAGCCTTAGGTAAAAATTACCTAGTTTTTTGGTGTACCCATATAACCAGAAACATGGAAAACTTTATCATATTCTGGTAGTTTCGATTATACTTTTTTCTTCGCATATTGGTTCTTTTCATCAGCCATTTGCAAGTAGATTAAATTGGAAATAGCACATAATATCACTTTAATTCAGAAAAGTAATTTTTCTTTGTCGCAATTATTTGTCTCCTGAGCGATCTGTCATTAACATTCATGGAAAAAAGTTTCTAATTTCTTCTCTCATACGTCAGGTATCATTTACATTTATAGAAAAAAGTTTCTAATTTCTTCTCTCATGCGTCAGGTATCATTTACATTCATAGAAAAAAGTTTCTAATTTCTTCTCTCATGTGTGAGGTATCATTTGCATTTATAGAAAAAAGTTGGATTCATTGTGTACTTAGATTAATATATAAATGATTATATTTATTATTAATTTTACTCTTTATTTTAATGCGCTTTTTTTTGTTGTACGAAATGGATATTAAAGAAAGTTTGACTTATTGTACCAAATCGCGGATTTTAACAGATATCTCTGTTAAAGAGAAAAATCAGAACGAGCCACAATATGAAGGGGAAAAAAACTAAGAAAACATAACTAAATATTAAGAAGAAAGTCAATAACAATACGAATCAACACAACTTTAGACAGTTCGCTTTACTGCAATAAACTAAATTATTTTAACAATTTCAGTTTAGATTTGCTATTTATTAGTCATAAATAAATATCTGATGCTTTCTTAAATACAATTATTACCCAAAACATTTCTTTAGAAACTTAATTATTAATGTACAAGTTCTAATAATTATTTTAATTTCCATGAATCAAACCTCCATCATACTAAGTTAAACCACCCTAAAGTAGGGACGTTTGGCCTAATTTATACACTTTTCAAAATCCTAACAAAAATTTTAATTTATAATTTAGGTAAAATATAATAATGTTAACAGATAACAAACATAATTAGCAATCTAATAACGTCAACTTTGGAATATTATTACGTTAACAAAAAATATATATTGTATTTTAGTAAAAATGGGTAAAACGTATTATGTTTCCCTATATAATAATATAATGTTTCAGCCATTAAATAAATTATTATTTTAGTCATTGTTTTTCATATGTTCGTTGAATTAGTCATTTTTCGTCTCATATGTACAAACTGATGTCTAAAATAAAAATAGTTTGGAATCATTCCACAGACCTGATTGCCCCACCGCTGCAGCAGCTCGAGGTTCTGGCCTCACGATTCCCTATTAAAACAATACATTTTCTTATAAAATATTCAAATAAAATGCTATGATTAAAATATAATTAAGCGTTGTGGGTATAATACTAAAACTAATTAACTTTGAAAGAAATTAAATTTCTGGCTTATTTTAAGAATTGTCTAGAACAATATCTAATACCTACTAAAAGGTCTTTCTGAGAAGATAACTACAATTAAACCTCGTTAACGCGAAATTGGCGGGACTATCATAATTATTTCATGCTAACCAGATTTCATCTTATCCGATACAGCATGAAAACAATTTATTACGTACTATCAAAACACATTATGTACTGCATTAATGTATGTAAATACTATTATGTACTAAACAAATTAGAATAAGCTTAAAATTTTAATTACTTTATTTAACTATTTAACTTCGACTGTTTTATTCATTTACCCATCTGTTACTTCTAACAAAGGCGGAAAATAGAATAACTTCAAACTTAATAATCGGCACTTTATTCACATGCTTCTTATCTGTGTTGTGCCCAGTTTCCTTTCATGTTAAGTGATAATCAGCTTGAAAATTTCATGTTAAACATGTAAAATACAATAATAATTAATTGCTGACTCGCGGGGCCGAACATGTGTTTCATATAAAGCTATATTTCGAGTTAATGAGGTTTAACTGTATTAACCTAAATTGGTTGAAGTTAGAAACTCAAATACACCGTAAAAAATTCTGATTCAAATTACGGTATAAGGTATCGGGTTCCAGTTCCTTGGGTGCATTCATTTAAGAATCATTCATTAAATTCATTTAAATTCATTTTAAAATCAATTTTTACCATAAAATATTATACCGTAATTCTTACAGAAATATGTATTTAATTAGAGTGATTCAGTTATTTTACGGTAATTATTACTGTAAAAAAAAAACGGTATATCATATTCTTTGTTCCTGTAAAAATAGATTTTACGGTACCCTGAATTCCGGTACTTTTGCCGTAATTTTTTTCAGTGTACATTCGATTTTTTCAAGACCAAGAAAAATAAAGGACGAAGTTGTGTTTTGGTTTCTGGTAAAACATCGGAAGCTTATTAAAGAAGTTAAATTTAGACAATAAAAATATGAAGTTATTTCTTTCGAAATCCTATCAATGCTCATAATGTTATTTTTATATCAAGGGCGACTAAAAGAAATACAAACACTATATACCATAAAATTATTTTGGATTTAATAGCTTTCAAAAATAGAAGTAGGACAATTATATCTTATTACCTTCATTTCACCTACTCCATTATTTACGTTAATGTAGAATGAGTCACATGTTAACTCAATCGATATATACGTCTATAGATAGCTACTACAATAAAACTGGAAATAAATGTGTCGATTTTATAGCTATCACATCACTAGGGAAAAGCGTGCTTACATCATAAATTTTATATTACTTTATATAATGTTTGGTTGTGATAATTATGGTTGGATGCAGCAAGAAAAATAGAAATAAATGAAAGTCAAGATTTTAAAATCTTAAGTTTTCAAAATTATTACACAAAGTACAGGATGAATATAAATAACTTTGCAAGCACTCGACTTCCTAGTGAGCATGCTGTTCGAGAAAACGTAATAAAATTTTGTATGCAGGTCTTATAAACAATGTGCTCAAGAATAATGTTAGTGTTTTTTCAGCTCTTATGGTTATTATTTCTTCAGCTCTTATGGTTAGATAAAGAATTTCAGAAATTTCAAACGGGAACAACTACTTTTTTTGTCATCAATTAAAACGTAATACCCACAATAATAAACTCACATTTTAGTTAAAACGATACATTTTAAGCACGATTAGTAGCGACGCTAGACAGAGCTGAATAGAGCAAGTTGCAGCAAATAACTGCGCTTTCTTCATCATTCTTTAGCCGCTAGATCTCCATCACTTCAACATTGACGATTTATAAATGCATTTCTCAAAATAACTCTACGCCATTGTATTTTATTTCCCGTCTGGATAAAAAGAAGTAAACGTTGACAAATTAAAATTTTGAAATTATGTCACTGTAAACGTCAGGAGAGTTCAATAATGGTTTTAATACTATTTTTTAGTTCATACCTTATAATATATTTAGATAAAATTTTATTCTGTTCTCTTGAAAGATATGCATATATCAGCAAATTGTTTTATAATCATCAAGTATTATCAATGATACATAAAGAGGAAGAAATAAGATTCAAGTCTTTTTTTTTTGCACCATTTGCTACAAATTTTTAACGAGTAATCAACACCATTACAAAGGCATTAAACTGTTTAACGGTTTTTACGGATAACTTAAAGTGTTATTAATGTTGCTGATTGTCTTTTTGTAATGTATATTTACATCGGCAGTTAACATTATCAAAAATATTTAATGAACTTAGACGTATCCTTGATCCATTAAAAAATGCTCAGTAGTAAAAAAAAAATATGGAAAGAACTTGATTACAGATTTCCATTTGTTGTTGGAAATCGAAAACTTAAATCTTTTTTTATTTATTTACACGCATAACTATTTCAAAATTCAATCATTCGTAATTCTATATATATTCAGTTTACCTGAAAACCAGATTCTTTTTGTGCAAGCGTTTCTCGCATTGACATGGACATTCGCATTTCAGCATTCAACCTTTGTTTTCCAAAAGCCACAGCTCCACTTGTAACCATAAGCATTTCTTTTCCCTCATTTTGCAATTGAGAAATCTATGTTCAAATAAATTTTAAAGAAAACATTAGAGAACTACTCATTATTAATTGGAATAAAAAAGCATATGGATATTTAACTGTGTGTAAACAATAATTAGTTTCTTAAAATTAGAGGACAGTTGTAGGCCAGTGATTAGAGAATCGGTTCGGAGGGCCACCGAGAATAGTGCGCCAAAATAAATAAATAAGTAAGTGAATAAATAAGTAAAATTCACCACCGTGAATAACATTTGATCTAATGTTCGGATCTCCAGGTTCTAGCACTCAATCTTAATGGTCTAAATCTTAATGATCTAAAATATGCTAATTAATAAGTGCTGACGATATTTTAAGTTACAATATCAGACAAAACGTATTTTCTCTGAATAAACAAACCTTTTTTTCAAGGGATTCGGATTTTTGATTCAATTTTCGGATTCAAGGGATTCGGATTGATTTAAGAGGACGCTGTACTGCGAGATAAACTTTTCATTGCAAATTCTGTTTCGCATCTTTAACTAATTTCAAATTTTAATAAATAATAAGTGAATTTAGTGTATAGAAAAGGTGAGTATAAAGTATAGAAAAAGTAAGTTGAAGCCCAGAGTAAACCATTTGTTGAAAAAATTTTTCAAAAGATCAAAATTCAAGCAAATTATTATAAGAAAACTTCAATGCGTAATCCTAAGTTATCCTATCATAATTTTTTCTCATTTTGATAATTTGAATATTTCTTTTCAGTATTTGAAACTTTATGGCTTACTCAAGGTTTGCTAGAGCATACTTTTCCTATACTTTAAATTGTAAATTACTTATGAAGGTGAAAGAGAATTTGTGATTAAAAGTTTCTTCCGTGGTATAGCGTCCTTTTAAGTTTTTACTCACTATTACAATTCAACATTTTTCCTAATTTTATGCATTCCATTTATGTATTCAATTTGTAAATTCATTTCAAAAACAGGCGTCTATTTTCAAAACTTCGCAGGCGTGAATGAGAAGATACAAAACTGATTTGAAATATAAAACGCAAAGTTATCAATGAGAAATGGAAAACTAGAGATGAGAAACGAAACTAGAAAAACTACAATAGCCTAGAGAGAAAATATATGAGAAACAGAACAGGATAAAACAGTAACCGATAGGGGGAAATCAGGGTAAAATTCATTTCCCCGCGCTATGTAGAGCTGATGAGCACTTGAGACATATCGATTGTTATTTCTAATTTGAATATTTTTGAAGCGAATAAAATTTTTATTAAGTAATATCTTACCACCTCAGTTTCTTGGCATTATTTTTTTCTAATTAAGAAGGTGTTTTTATGACCATAATGGTATAATTTTCCCCCCTTGTGTGCATTTTGAAAAAAAATTTGAAATACTGCAAGAAGAAAAAGTTCACTCTGAATGGATCAAATTGTCACACATTGAATTTAAACATTCATGTTCCGAATACCTCATCCAAGACATGATAAATATTTAACACCTAATTTAAAGTTGCAGAAATAGGCATCAAAGATGTACTTCATTACATAAACATTTCATTTATAGAAAAATTCAAATGTTCGACCTGAAAAATATAAAATTTTGAAAATCTTGTGATCCCAAAAACTAAAAACAGGTATGTGTTTATTAAATAATGATTTGTGCATAAAATAAATTTTTTAAATTATTTGTTATTGAACTTAATTGAGATTGGAAACATTTCGAATTATAAAGTATAAAATTTTTTTCTCCGTGTTACACTCTGTAGTTATGAATGACAAAATTTTAAATAAATTGGTTGAAAAGTTCTCGAAAAGTGTTACAAGTGTTGAAAAGTGTTATAAGTTGTCTCGAAATTGTTATAAGTATGCAAGAGTTGAAAGTTAAGTTATTAGTTTGAGGTTTAAAACATCTTATGAATGATATAATCTTTTATTTCTTGGAAATTATTTACCTAGAAATAACTTCAAATTTCGTCTTTTCTTATTAAAGAATACGTTATGTAAATAAAAAAAGTCTATCTTATAATTCACAAAAAAATGTTTAATTATACGAGGGGTCCTAAAATTCCCGCACGACGTAATTTTGATAGAAAACACAAGATTTTGATTTTAAAAAATATATCGTGAATTGTTTATTTATTTATAAAGTATACAGTATAGAGTTTTAGGTGGAACTGCCTTTCGGGTAATAGAGGTATGGTTATTACCTCAAACGAAATCTTTTGTTGAAATTTTCAACTATTGTTCAGCAAAGCTGTGGTTCAATTTCATTGAGATGGTGCACTCAATTTCCAACTCAAGGCACGGTTTATCGTTGACATAAACCTTCTATGCTAATACAATTCATTCAGCTGCTTTAGCACTTTGCTTTGATATTATTTCTTTCGTTTTAATGGCCATTGACGATTCCTTTTTTATTTATTTATTACTCCTGTATATATATGTATATATATATACAAATTAACATGAAAAACATGAATAAAGTAAAAAACTAAATGGTAGAGAAACAAGAATGGTGAAAGCAAATAGTCGTTATCAAGACACATCTAATTGCTATAAATGCGATATTTCTGAATAAAGAATATTTATCCTAAGATAAAAATTATTCTTTATATGTGCCGATATCGCAAAAAACCTTATGTTGTAAAAGATCATGAAATAAAAGAAAAATGTAAAAAGAAATCGAACTTACCGGTGGGAATTAAAGCGCGGTTTAGGTTTAAAAGTACAATAATAAAACAGTTAACAAAAATCGCGAAGATGTAAAATATTGGAAGTTGTGCTTATAGCTTGAATCAAATAAAATAAAATTAAAAAAATATATATTTGATCGAAGAAGAAGAAAAAAATTTTTAGTAAAATATTAGTGCTGCCATCTATGAGAAAAAATTAAAAATTGAAAAATTGAAAAAGTAATAAAAATGTTTAACGAATTGATTAAATTAGCAGACTAAAAAAAAAATCATCCATAGGGAAATTAATTTAAAAGTCAGTCTGTACTATTGGATAGAAAGCCGTTTATAGACTTTATCCTTCATTCAAAAAACCTTACATAATTTTACAGATTACACATATCCATCTTTCATAGGGTGACTTATTTAAAAATCAGAGCCTCCATACAGGAATAGAAAACCGTTTATAGGTTTTATCCTTCATTCATACAACCTTACATAATTTTAAAGTATACACGTATCACCTGCATTCATTTGGGGTGGTTCTTTACGAACCAGAGCCCATTCCACTTATACAAAAATAAAAAATAAATAAATAAATAAATATATAACTA